TTATACTAATATGGTCTGTATTATCTCACAGAGAACATATCTTTAAGCAGTTTCAGAAAAATACGTGTCTTTGCTAATGTTTGTGAATAGCTAGGAGGTTTCAGTATTAAAAAAAAAAAATAATAAAAAACCCCTGTCCTTGGCAAGTGCAATGGCTGTGCGAGAATGAGAATGAGAAAATTATTCTTGAGCTTAAACAGAAGCAAATCTACCTTCTCTAGGTTTATTCTTGTGATGGAGAAATACACAAATCCAGGCAAGGGAACACTATGCTGCCTGTGTCAGTAAGCTGGGAAGAGAATATTACATATAAGAATAGATTGTACATGTTATTTTATCGCAGGAACTTATCATTCTTAACCCCTTCTTGTAACCTAGAAATCTGTATGAAATAGTTCTGTATGTTGGAAGTTGGAGATTTTGTGTTTAGATGTATTTTCTATTGACTGGTCAGGCTCAGGTTTATCTTTATGAATCTCATTTATTGAGCAAAATTGAACTTGGCCCGACACTTGATGAGTTACGTAGATTTTTACCACCTACAGGATTTTAATTGATTTTACTGATGTTTTGACTTTTGTTTGCGTAGAGGTGAATCTCACAGGCAGTTTGGGTTTGGATACTTGAAAGAAAAACATTAATGGGCCCAGTTACATAACACTTTCACTGGCTTCTACTCCATAAATACAAATTCCTAAAATGAAATCCGTAAAAGTCAAAATATAAGTCTGTATTTTATTTGAGCACATTAACACAGAAAGTATTACCTTTATCTTACAGAAATGTTGGAATCCAACAATATAATAAATTTCAATGGACTAGCTAATAGCTCCAGTTACCATACCTTCCTCTTGGATGAAGAACGGAGTCGGCTGTACGTTGGAGCAAAGGATCATATATTTTCTTTCAACCTGGTTAACATCAAGGAATATCAAAAGGTACTTTCATTAATGTTTCGTACAATGTAAATATATACTTTAAATGTTGCAGAATTGTTATTACTCAGACCATATTGGGCATTGTATGAATGATATGGTAAGTGTTCGGCTGTCAGGAATACTATTACAACAAAAACATTTGCTGACTCTATGAAGAGAAATTTATAATGAGCTTATAACATATGACTATGTAAGCTACAGTGCTTTTTTTCAGACTATGAAAAAGTAAATGGTAAGTGAATAATCTAGGTATTTCCCAAACAAGACATACTTTCATGTTTGCTGCTAGAAAAGCCAAACAACTGTTAGGACAGTTTACATAAAAAGGCCTTACTGTATTTATTTGCAGATATAAAGAAGCTGTTTGGGAATCTGAGTGTTAATTTCTCTTCTTTTAACCCAGCACTGCTAGGCGCTCTGCTTCTGCTGCTTTCAGACCAATATAGATTCAGTATTAATGAAAGAGGAATAGCTCCATAAAAGCTTGCCATTCTTGGTGGAGTGTATAATTTTCCAGTAAAAGCAGCAAGACATTAAAAGCTGACGAACAGTTCAGTGATATTATTTTGCTGGAATCTAAATAAATAATTTCAAAATACTGAGAAGGTAAGCAATGGGATAGAGGTTTGATTTGTTATATGTATGTATTTTGATGGCATATTTTAAAATCCAGAGAGTACCCTTTTTCTGAGATACATTGCTTCAATACCCAGGGATCTTTTTTCTTGGTGTTCCTGACCTTTTGCCCATTTGACTATTAACTTCCTAAGATGATAGCAATAAATACCTTGTGTTTTCTGTTCAGAGGGAAGACAGGCTATTCATTTGTGCTCTCTAAGGAAAAAGGATAAAAGGAAAACTGGGTATTTTCTTTTCTATTCTCTTTAGAGCAGCTATAAAGGAAACTAGCTATTTATTTGAATTCTCTGAGGGACTGATAGCTTAATGTGCAAAACATCTGGAATAATTAAAGGAAAGAAGGTGTTTCTATTGCAGAAAACAGCTCTGCAGAATGGCAGAAATTGTATCTTACATGCTTACATATTCAGATACCTTCAGAATGCTATTTGAAATTATATGCAGTTATTACTATATTAAATAAAGAGTTGTTGTTGCTAACATGGAACTGAATATTAGCAACAGACTTAAAGAACAGACTTATAATAAACTCTAGATTTAAGAATAGACAAAAATCTGAAAGACTTTGGGGATCTGCTTATTAAAGACTGGAAGGTCTCTAAAGAAACTTCGATCAAAATAACTATGTAGTCATTGCTGCACTTGAGTTAAAACTTCACCAATTGTTGTTTCCACCATATGATAAAGAACTAAGATTTCTGTCTAAATGCTGATAGCACCATATGACTCCAAAGGAGCACAAGCCAACAAGCCAGACTTTCCAGTCTATTAAAAATGGTTCAATTTAGCTGATTATTAAACCAAATTAAAGGGAAATATTGTGCTGTGAGAATAAGGATATATAGCCTCTAGCCATTCATTTTATGGATTAGAATGTTGGTTTGCATAATATAGAAATATTTGCCCAAAACTTCAACTGAACTTGGACTCGTCCTTTTTGGGAGACCTAAGAAGTTTGGTTAATGTTTTTAAACCTAGTACATTTAAATTTTCACGTGTCTGCACACTTTAAGCTGAGAATAGAAAAAACAGGAAGTAGCAGGAATCCTTCGAGAGAGTATGTGCTCATAAGTTTTTTAGCCTTATTTCATAGACTTAAGATGTTTTATTGCTGTTTGGATTTCAAGTTTTAAGAAGATTTTGAATTTAAAAATGTGGTTGCAAACTGTATCTTCAAATGGCACATACAGCATTTCCTTTGACCTCTTCTGTCATCCATATTAATGCTTTTTTCTTTCCGTTTTGAATACAGAGCTTTTTACTTTCTTTTAACAAACTGTATTGAACACCAAAGCTGTAATCCAGACTTATGGCCATTCATATTGCATTATCTGAGGCTCCCAAATGAATAGCCCAGCATTTTATGGGAAGATCATGTTTTATTCTATATGTAATTCCTAAAAGCTTTTCAAAAAAACCATGAATAATTGACTGTGAGGGTCTCTGGATTTTCTCTGTATGAGGTGAGATCCATTTTCTGCTAAGCAAATGCTACAATAAACCTAGATTTAGGTTTACTTGTGTTAGGGCAGCTCTAGGAACAGCATAAACATTTCTGTTTTGATGGTGTTGTTACTATTCAAACAACATGGCTTCTTTTTTTATTATTTAATTAACTAAACCTAATAAATGGGTGAACTAGTAGATACACTGAAGAAGCAAACAACTAATTTCTGATGCTGTAACTCTAACATGAGACTGCATTTCACATAGATCCAATTTATTGTTAGTAACTATCTGCAATTACACCCCAATACATCAGATATGAAACAGTGGAAGAATGTTTGCTTAATGGAGAGTCCCTTCTTATTGTTATATTCAAGATTCACTACTTAGATTCGCAATACACACTGTATTTCAACATTGTTTTTATTGTCATGCCTGTTATCCATATTTTTTTTCTATAATTTCACTTCATTTCTTATTGAATTATATGGAAGGAAAGGAAATAAGGAAAAGACTGGGGAAGAGAGAAACGGGGTAAAAACTCTGTAGCATTTGGTCTGCAATTTGTGATTATTGAAGCATGAAATAACACAACGTGATTTTTGTTCTGTGTCTTTAGATTGTTTGGCCTGTATCTCATTCCCGAAGGGATGAGTGCAAGTGGGCTGGAAAAGATATTCTGGTAAGTACAAATCTCTTTAGCTTTTTTTTTCTTGTATAAAGCATCGTAAATACTTTATTATTTCTTATTGTGTTAATTCTTAAAGTATTTTTCCTTCTCTGTAAGGTCACAAATCTGATCACAACTTCAGTCTTGAGTTCTCTCAGCCCTCTTATTCAAAATAATGAAATTTTGTCTTTGTGACCAAGGATTTAAGTTTATATAATGAAATCATGCAAATGAAATAGAAAATATCTACCACAAAAAAAAATATAAATCAGCAAGAAAGAGATGGGAGGAGAAATATCAGAATGAGAAATATTAATACTTGTATACTTGTTTCCTGATCTCAGGGTAAATAACATGTTGACCTACTTTTGCCCTGCTCTAGGTCCTAGTCCTACAGTCAGTTCCAAGATGTGTTTTCTCTTTGTGGCATCTCACTGGAATCAATGGGTTTCCCTGGGCTCTTTCTTGAATGGAGTTAAGAGCAAGATTGAGGTCAAAGTGTTTTTAACATTCTTCATCAGTTTTGGTGCCTCAGGAAAGACACTGTTACACTAGGCATAATTTTCTGTATGTTTTGCTTCATTCCTGTGTACATCTTATTGCCTGTATTTATGAGGTAGAAGAGACATAGTCAGTAGCCTCCAAATAATAATCATTTCATGCTGATAATAACTGTCTTCTTTATAAGAACAGTATGGGAAATGGGAAGACTGAAGGGCTGAAGAAGAGAAAAAAAGGATGAAAAATACGTGCATGCAATAAGCCAAACAAATACTTGCATAGCACAGCCAAATGGGAAATCATTGTGGTTGCCAAGGTATAACTGCGGGTGGAATGTGGCCCCATGTGAATATGCTATTGGCCTGATTTTCAGAGATGATTCTGTAAAATATTCATGATGCCAACCATATGCCTCTAGAGAGCTCCTTTTGAATAATTTCCTAGGTCATAATAAAAATAGTTTCATCAGTCTTTACCTAGGCCATAGAGGACAGTTGTCTTTCTTAAAAAGACATCTGGGAACAGTAAGGGTGGATTAGGTAAACACTAAGAAATACGGGCTAAGCTGTAAATGTGAAGGGATAGCTGGAATGCCCGATAACTTGTGCTATCTCATTACATAGAAATTATGCATTTAAATTAATCCATCTTCATGTTCACAAATAATTTTCAGGAGTACACTGCAAGATGAGAACTAGCATATCTAATATTCAAGGTTAAAAAAAACTAGGGCTAGTGGAAATTGTCTGAGAAAATTAACCTTATAGCTTGATCTTATACTAAGTATTATGATATTACATTAAGTAGATTTTTTTAATAGCTGGGTTTGAAACCTAGAAAATTAATGAGATTCAAAACCTAGAATGAAAGTGTACTCTTTTAATAATTATTTTTATAAATTCACAATAGTAAGAAGGAGTATGTTTTATACATTGCACTATCCTGATTCCAGTGTATTAATTGTAAATAGACACTAGTATTCTGGAGTGAGCTGGGAAGTTCAGATCCCCATTCTCTGACTTGTAAGAAGTATTTATGCTGTAACTATTTTATTCACCTTGGTTCTTTTGCTTCCTGTGATACTATGACAGCTACAGCTGCTGATCACAAGTATAAGGTGTAGCCCATGCCATACCTCATTCATGTTCGTTGCCCTGGCACACTGGCTTCCTGCTTTGATCCTGTGTGTTAGAAGCAGCATTCCCATGAGCTGCTGGAAAAGATTAAGGCAGAACAGGAGCCGAGAGTTCAGGAGACAGTGCAGCTCAGGCTCAGGATAACAGTAGCACAACACAAGGTTGCCAGGATCAGATACTTTGTTTTGAAAAGTATTTTTCACATATATTGGTTGTTGCGCGTGGGTTTGTTGCATTTTTTTTTCTAATTTTTAGATGCCTCTGCAAACATGAGAAATATTTAAAAAAAGTAATAATAATGCATAGGTCATATTTAATGTAGGTCTAGTTTTGGCAGGCAACTTGAAAGATGTAATGTATATCTTAGCGTGTTCAAGTCATCATCTTTAAATATTTATGCCTACCTATTCTTCCCATAAAATAGTGCATTACAAACCAAGTATTGAATGTAAGTGCTTTAACTGTAATTACAGATAAGATTACAGATCATTTAAGAAACTTATTATTCCTCCCTCATTTATTCCTTAAAACCATTGTCAGTACCTTGGGAGTGTGAAATATAAAGGCCATAAAAATAGCTCAACAGACTGTAATTAGAAGGAACAAGAGAAACAGAGGACAAGTGAAGTGACATACAAAACATATTTGATTTAATATTGCTTTCAGCATGTACCGCTGCTAAGATATTAGATACTCTTCACTCGTGATGGTTCAAAACTTTCTACATGGCAGTCTATACTTCTACTCAGGTCTTTTTTAGAAATTTTTTTTTTAATTATTGACCTCCAGGGGAAGTCAGTGCTGAGAATGCAGGTCCCCACTAATAGGCCAGGTGCACTCCAGCAGCTGCAGCGCGAGTATAACCCTGGCTCTGCCCCGCTGCTAACCTCAGCTATGACCCCTGAGATTTCCTCTCATAATTATAAGATGTAATTTACTGTCGTTTTCACTCCTTCAGAGGGATTCCTTGTACTGACGCTGTCAGTCATGCCAATCCAGGCACAGCAGGTTTGTAGCTCAGGACAGTCCACACGGGATTTGAGGAGGGCGGCCAACTTATAGGCTGTTCCCGCTCTCCTAGTATCCCTTTGTTCCTTAAGCAGTCATTTTCATTTCTATTTCTTAAAGGGCTTAGTATATGGTAATTGGTTAGGCTTTGCTCACATATAGCTGGATAAATCTTGAAAAGTATGCTACAAGTTTTATTTTTTTATATGGGTAAGCTAAGAAGAGAGGCTGAATGACTCACCCCAGCTCTGCAGAACTTACAGCAGGACTTCTATGACAGAAGTTAACTCTACACTTTTTCACAAAATATAGATACTTTTCCAATAAAATAGTACTTAAAGTCCTATTTGTAAGTACTTAGTATTGCAGTATATTTCCATTTCCTCAGCACCACAAGCACCAGTGTGACGTTGTTCATGAAAAATTAAAGACTGTAAATAATAGATATTTGCTTACGTAATTCAACTAAATGACCAATTCTGTGGGGATTTCTTGCTATTCTGGAATTGAATCTATCATTTGATCTATTCTGGTTGCTGTAAGGCCCACAAAAATATATCTCACAATTCTTGACCATACCTCGGTAATGATTAACGAAGACAAAGTCTGTACAGAATACTTCTCAGCTTTTATACTGAACTTAATGTACAGAATAAACGTTAGTCATATCCCTCACTAGTGAGCCTCAGGATTTTGAATTTAAGGTCTCACAAACACCTGTAACCCAGAAGAAACATGTGGCCACCTCTGAATTACATAGGGGTTAAATAATAGGTGACTGCAAAAAAAAAAGTGGCTACAGTCCCACTCTTACATTTCTGGGATGTCATAGACCAACAAAGCAAAGCTTGGGGATTCAAAAGAGTTACCATAAACACTAGCTAGTTTTGCAGGGATGGATAGGGGAGAGATGGCTTGTTGACTCCAAAATTCATCTAATCCTTAAACTATTAATTTACTATTGTTTTTTATATTGGCTATTGGCTGCTGTTTAGTTGATACATCTCTGCACTAGATTTGGCTGAGGCACTATATGTCATATGGTACACCATTAATCAGAGAAATCCCTATTAAAGTGTCTGATAGATTTCTATGACTTTAAAGTTTTAAAAATGTGTTTCTGAAGGGCACCTTAGGATGTTTTTTTCAAGTGTGATTAGACTATCTAATTTATTTAACCACGTTTAAAGATCACAGCTCAAATTAAATTGTTGAAATAGTCCCTTCTAGCCTTGACATGTATAAATCTTCAGAATATCAATGGGTACTTTAACAAGGTCACTTAAGACAAGCTACATGGTGACAGATACTTCTACACACTTTGCATGCTATGTGAATTCAGTTACTTCTGGGATGTTTCTTGTGGAAACTAAATGTTGATATAGCAGCAGATAAAACTACTGCCAAGTACTTTTACTTGGTACCAGTAAGCTTCCACATATGCTCTGTCACATAAACTAAGAGGTCCATACTGAGTGTTACATTTTTGTATTATTTCCTTAACAGCTAAAGTACATCAGCACAATTGTGTGTGTATTAGCACTGATTGTATTATAATTTATAGGGGATAGGCATCTACTTGGGCTTTTTAATTGCCATTGAATTTTACCTCGTTATTAACTCTTACCTGAATTCAACAATGATTCATTTTTCTATATTTGTTAGTGCTTTTGGTGGCAATTTGGAATCACTGTAGCTCAGTTAAGAAGAAGCAAGACTCTTAAGCTACACATGGCATATCTATACTTTGTGCATGCTTCTTTGCACTTTAGTGTGGCTGGCACTTAATTATTGAGTTTATGGTTCATGCAGGTAGACTCACGTGGCTGTAGTTGAATTCACCATCTCATTTTGTAATGATAATACTTAATTTAAACCAAAATGTTATTACGTCATCTCCATTTATGCTTCCTTTAAAGTTTTCCAGCTCCTCCCTAAGTGATAGGAAGATTAGCAATGCCACAGGCTTATAGATCCATCAATGTGCAATGAGTTAAAAGAAAAAAGAAGACAAAACACACAAAAAAAGTGGTGTGTAACTTAGCAAGTGTCCCTCAGCCATATCTGGTGATACTTTGGAAAACCAAAGCTGGCAATAAATGAGCACTCTTCACTTTAACTCATTTTGCTACTGTTGTTGCCTTAGGGAAAATATAGCAAGCTGGAGGCAGAAAGTAAAAGTAATTCTTTTCATCTGTTATTGTAAACAAAGACCTGAAGAGGGAATCTGAAAATCAAATATACAATGCTGTCTGGATCTAGAAAGCCTGCTTCTATATTCATCTCACAGGCACCATTTTTCCGGTCAAATTACCTCTGGCCCTTTGGGTGTGCCGACACACCAAGTTCATCCCTTTCTGTCAGGGT